TGTGTGTGTGTGTCTGTGCGTCTGTGTGTGTGTGTGTGTGTGTGTTTCCCTCCCCTTTATTTTCTTCGCTGCCGCTGTGGCGTTGTGCGTGTGCCCGCCAAGCCGCGCTCCTCTCGGCCCCTCTCTTCTCTCGCGATCCGTTCGGTCGTTTTTTTTTTCTTGCCGTTGTTTTTGACTTCGCGCCTGCGCGCGTCTGTGCATGCGGGACGCTGCCGCCTTCGTAGGCGTCCCACGACACGTGCGACGCGCAGGAAGCCCCCGGCAGTCAAAGTTGTTTATCGACGCCTCATTTCTTTTCCGCGGGGAGGCGGCGAGAGTGGCGGAGTCGTGCGGCGACTATGCGCCGGCTGCGTGCGCTGGTCCTCCCCGATGCAACCTGGCGCGATGACAACTCCGCCGACGCATGCGAGAATAGGCTGTGCCGCAAGAAGTTCTCCATGCTGTTCAGCAAACACCACTGCCGCTGGTGTGGGAGGATTTTTTGCAGCGACTGCGCCCCCCGCACGGCCCCCTACCGCGGGGAGCTCCTGCGCCGCTGCAACGCGTGTCGACTGCCGGTTATCTTCCGCAGCGTCTACGATCCCCTGGCGCGTCGACGGGATGGGGCTATCGCGGAGCTCATTTTCTCCTTTCTTGACAGTCTCTCCATCAACGCCTTCCTGCAGTCGTGCTACACGGCCCTGTCGGAGTTTCACGTTAGCGGCTACGACTACTACGGCAGCATCCAAGAGCGATTTCCCTCCTTCTTTGAAGGCGCACGCATTGGGAAGGGCGTCACGGGCACCGTGTACAAGTGCGAGGACCGCCGCCGGTGTGAAAACCAGCGTGTTGCACTCAAAGTCATTACGAAAAGTTCAACCATGTCGTTTGCCGCCTGGCGAAAAATCACAACAGAGCTGGACATCATGAAGGAGATTGACCACCCGAATGTGGCACGCCTGCTGGAGGTGTTCCAGACCCCGCTTTGCCTCGTCATTGTGATGGAGGCCGGCGACGGCGGCGCCCTGAAGCAGGTGTGGGAGTTTGTGCGGACACGCCACTGCGATTTAGAGGTGTTTACCGCCAGTGTAGTGGCGCAGATAGCAGAGGGGCTGGACTACCTCTACCGCGTCAAACACATTGTCCACCGCGACATCAAACACGATAACATCATCGTTTCCCGTGACTTTAGTAGGGTGCTGATCATCGATTTTGGGCTTGCGGAGTACATTACAAACGAGAAGCGTCAGTTGTTTGTGCCGTGTGGCACGTTTGGGTTTGCGTCGCCGGAGAACATCCTGGCGGTGGTGGATCATCTGCGGCTCTTCGAGGCCTCCGGTGCCACCATGCACCGCGCGGACATGTTTAGTTTAGGCGTCGTAGCGTACATGCTTCTCGCTGGGGTGCGTCCGCTGCAGGGGAAGCGGTTCGTGGAGCTGTACAGGGAGGTGCGGCGGGGAATTCGCTGTGTGGGGCCGTGCTGGACCAACATCTCGGACAGCGCCAAGGAACTTGTGGAGTGGCTGCTCAAGACCAGCACGAATGAGCGGGCAACGCCGGAAGATGTACGAAAACACCCGTTTATTGTTAATAAGGCGCCACTCATCACGGAGATTGTCAAGAAGCGCAGACAGGAGCTCCTCATCACAAAACAGCTAGAGGACAACGAGTGGGTGTACGTTGTGCCATCCAGTGGCCACGGGGAACCTGCCTGGGAGGAGGACGTGTCAGGCATTAATAAACGCAATGGACGATTTGGTTCCAGCCCACTCTTGCAGTTTAGGATGAACCGGGGCACAGCGACCAACAAGGACGGACCCCAGTCACTGATAAGAAGAAAAGATGCGTGAAGTGCGGCTCTGCGTGTCTGGGGTGACGCTGTCGGTGGCAGCTTACACATGCACCCCGGTTTGCGCCGCGCCGTCCCCGGCCCACACGTACTAACGCCTGCGGGGAGCAGCGCACGCAGCTTGAGGCGGTGACGGGTGAATGCTGCTGTTTTTCTTTTTCTTTTGCTTCTCCGGGGTGGGGTGAGAGGAGGAAGGGGAGGATGAGTTTGCCCCCCGTCCTCGTCGATTTCACCCTGTAGTCGCGGCTGCCCTATTCTCTGCGTGGATTTGTTTTTGCTTTGCTCCGTCGCATGCGGGCTATTAGGCACACTCGCACACGCACGCACAAGGTGAGCATCTGGGCGAGGCAGGAAAAAAAAAACAACAACAACAACAGCAACAACGGCGAAGAAGAAGATGAAGGACTATATATGCCCATTTATATATTTATATGCGCACAAATTTCTTGTAAACAACACGTTTAATTTGCGCATCGTTGTGTCTGTGTGTGTCTGTGCGTGTGTGTATATGTGACAAGGAGAAATAGATAAAGCGAGATATATATATATATATATAGAAGGCCACGCCGCAACCCGCAGCGAGAAGAAAGAAAGAGTCTGGGAGTCTGAGCGTCGAAGGGGGAGCGGCTGAAGAGAGACTGGGGTCTGCTTCTCACTTCAAGTGTTGGGGGCGCCACGGGATGACGAATGAAGTGCACGCGGACGACAGTGAGCCGAACGAAAATAATGCCTGCGCCCTCGTCCCTGTTAAGATTATTACTGTTAGCATGCTGTCTCCCTTCGCCTATTGGGTGTCTACCGTGGGCTCCTTTGTTGTTTGTTCGTTTGCCGACTTTTCTGACCAGTCTCCCGTGTTCCACCGTTTTCTCCTTTCACGTGCCTGCCGCCCCATTCCGCGCATGCGTTTCTCTCCTTCTTTCTTGCCTGTCTGTATCCCCGCCCTTCCTTCTGCCCCACCGCCGCCCCCCTGCCCTTCTTTCTCCGTCCGTGGCTCGGCCGTGAGGGACAAACGGACGGCGCTGTGAAGGGGGCTCTGCCAAGGCGCGACGCGAGCAGGGACGACGTGAACGATGGACGCAGTGGCTCTGGCGCAGTCTATTCTTGACTGCGGCGACAGGGCGGTGCTGCAGGTGCTGTCGCTTGCGCCCGGGCTGCCGCCCGTCTCCGCCGAGACGCCTGTTGCGGAAGCGCGGCGAAATTACATGCGTCTTGCCGGGTTGGTTCACCCTGACAAACTGCAGGGCCGCTTCCAGCGCTCGACGGAGGTGTTTCAGAAGCTGGTGCGCGCCTTCGAGCTGGTGGCGGACCCAAAGCACCGCAAACAGCTTCTCGCGCTGCAGGCGAAGGAGACCAAGAAGCAGGCCGGCAAGCAGGCACAGCCACCACCGCAGCCGAAGGAGACGCGGCTCACGAAGCAAGCGAGGCAGGTGGCCGCGCTGAAGGAGGCAGCCACGGTGCAGTCTGCTGCCAAGGGCCCCAAGGCGAAGCCAAAGCGAGCAGCACCCAAGGAAAAACGGCCAGCTAAGCAAAAACGTGCCACAAGAGACGACGACGATGAATTTATTGACTATGACGAGGAAGCAGAGGAAGATGAGGACGAGGATGAGGATGAGGATGAGGATGAGGACGCGAGTGTCGACCTCGACGAGGAAGATATGGAACTCGAGTTTGCGGACAAGGAGCCGAGCGTGTCTACGAGCCGCGCCCTCCTCGGCACCCGGCGCACCGGCGGCATCTACCGCGATACCACGGTTCGCTGCCCACAGTGCCGCACTCCCTGGACGCCCGACTCCAAGCAACACTATTCCCTCTTCATGGGGCCTGCAGGTAAAAAAGTGCACTGCGAAACGTGTCTTTGCCGGTTTGGCTGTGCTACGGCTCTGCACGCCTGCCCATACTGCCAGCACAGCTTCGACTATGATGCCACCATGTACGACACCGTCATGCAGTGCGAGGGCTGTCGCAAGACGTTCGGGTTTCCGTACTACCCGGTGAATCAGCAACTTATTGACCAGGTGAAGTTCGACGAGTGGCGCGAGCAAACGGAGCGGGAAAAGGCCCGTGAACGCGAGGAACGGGCGGCGAGACGACGAACTACGGACGACAGCGCATCGGAGGAGTTTCATACTCTCGTTGGGGAGTGTATTGTGAACGAGACATGCCCGCTTTGCAAGCGCACCATCACCGCGCGACACCGACAACACGTTGAGGCGTGCTTGAAAAATAAAGGAACAGGCAACACCGTTTCAATGGCAACGCCGAAGGCGGCCGTGACGCAGAAGCCGACACGCAAAAAGGCGGCTGTGGTGAAGAAACCCAGCACCCGCAGGCCAGCCTCGAAACCGGCGAAGAAGGCAAAAAAAACGCCGTCGTGACGACGACAGCGACTCGGAGGATGAAGAGGAGTCCTTCGAGGGTTCCTCTTCCTCCTCTTTGGAAGAGGAGGATGAATAAGTGGGACGGCGATCACAGCGAGTACGACAAAGAAGAAGAGGCGGAGGAAGAGGAAAGGACGGTGTTTAACCACAAAACCCCCTTTCTCTCTCTCTCTCTCCCTCCCCAAACACACACACGCACACAGAGAGAAAAGAAAATATTATCTGAGTCCTCTCCACAGAGAGGCCATAAGCAAAACGGAGCATGGTTTCATACGTCTTGGGGCGAAAAGAGGCAGGAACCGACTGCACTATCGTATTAGGGCATCCGTATTTTTTTGTTCCTTGATTATTCTTGTTGCTACTGCTGCTGCTGTTTCTTCTGCTTTTGGTGCTAGGGCATGAGGAGGCAGGAGAGCAAGGCGGCGGAAGCCTGACAGTTGCGAGGGACCAAGTAACAAGAAGGTGGTGATCCACGCGAGCGAGTTGACATATGCACGGAGGGACGGCGCTGGAGGTTGAACGAAGGAGAGGGCGCTCACATCAGCGTGAGCAGGAGGTGAGGGGGTGGGGGGTGAAGGTCAATTGTTGTATCGTTTAGCTTCTCTCACTCTTCTTTTTTTTTTTTGGTTTCTTGACGGTTAAAAGTGTTTTTTTTTTGCGTGCGTGTGCGTGTTTCTTAGTGGCGAGCTGCGGCAGCCGCCTGTAGTGTTCTTCGCCACGTGGGACCAGGCTATACAGCATGACGAATACGGGGGATTCTACTTCGATCGGTGCGGCCTTTCCGGTGACGGATGCCGGCACGGAAGACCAAAGAGTGAGGAAAGTGGGCGCTATCGAGAAGATGCTGCGCACGGACCGTGGTCTACTAGACGTGGAGCCACCACTGTGGGAGGCGCTGCCTCACAGCATGGCGTTTGACCCGAAGGGAGCCCCTTTGCTTAGTAATATCAAGGCGCACTTTGCCCGTGAAGGGCTGCTGCTGGAGGAGGATGCGCTGGAGCTTGTCGCCCGCTGTGCTTCTATCATGAAGCGTGAGTCAACGCTGTTGCGGGTGGATGGGGCCGCCATTATATGTGGCGATCTCCACGGCCAGTTCTTTGATCTTTTGAAGATATTTGAGCTGGGAGGTGAGCCCGGGGAGCAGCAGTACATTTTCCTTGGCGACTACGTGGACCGCGGCAGCTTCGGTGTTGAGATTGTACTTCTCTTCATGGCGTATAAAATACGCCACCCCGGGCACTTTTTCCTCATCCGCGGAAATCACGAGTCACGGCATCTGACGTCATATTTTAACTTTAAACGGGAGGTTGAGTACAAATATTCACTCGAACTCTACAATGAAATTATGTCGGCGTTTGACTGTCTCCCCCTCGCGTGCCTGCTTAACAACAGTTTCTTCTGCGTCCACGGAGGCCTGTCACCGGAGATCCGGCGCTTGGAGGATATTGACCTCATCCACCGCTTTCGGGAACCGCCGTCGTCCGGGCCAATGTGCGACCTCCTCTGGTCAGACCCAACGTCAGAGCTGACGGAGGAGGTGGCCTCACCGGAGGCGCAGTTTAGCCCCAACACAGTCCGTGGCTGTTCCTACTCCTACTCTCACGAGGCGGTCTGCCGCTTCCTTGAAGCAAACGACTTGTTGGGCATAATTCGCGGTCATGAGGCCCAAACTGAGGGTTATCGGCTTTACGCCAATAGCCCCATGGGTGTGCCGGGGGTAGTATGCGTTTTTTCCGCCCCAAACTACTGCGATACATATAATAATCGTGCTGCTTTTATCCATGTGAAGGGGGACGTTATGAAAATACGCCAATACAACAGCAGTTTACATCCATACTATCTACCAAACTTTATTAATGCCTTCACCTGGTCCTTTCCCTTTATGGCAACTAAGATCTACGAGCTTTGGAACGAGGTTATAGGAACCAACATTGAGAGTGGCCCGCTGGTGCCAGTAGCTGTGTTTGAGGAGCGCATTGCAAAACTGCGGGGAAAAATCGTCAGTATGACTGAAGCAATGCATGAGTTACGCCTTATTGGTGAAGGAAATGGTGCGGAGAAGAAATAATAGTCTGAGGCGAAATAGGAATAAATATAAGACATACTACATACGTATTTATATTGTTATAGTTTTACATTTATATTAACAAAAATGTAGTACTTTTTCAGTTTAAGCATGTCCTTGCGTTTCGGTTGAGGCTGGAACCATCAGCGAACAAGCCACATACATATATGGACGTTGCATGTGGATATGTATAATTGCATAGATGTGGGTATGTGGCTGTGCTCTTTTTTTTTTATTTGGTGCTGTTGTGACAGGGTATGTTTGGAATTTTTTTTTGTTTCTCCGTTTTTTTTTTGGCCTACTTTTTCTTCTCCACCTCCTTTTCGCTGCTATTGCTACGGTAGGGGAGGGAGGCGCTTGCTGTGACGGTGCTCAGTATTTTATCGCTGCTTCTGAGGGTGGATGAGTAACCGGCGCAGGGACGATAGGATTGCTGCGTGGTGCTCATCCTTTCCATTCCTCATTATGCCTGGAGCCTACTTCTTCGCTGTATATGTATATATGCCTCTCTCCCTCTCTCTCTCTCTGTGTGTGTGTGTGTGTGTGTTTAGTTTGTGTGTAGGCCTACAGAGATTTCGTCTCTTTGGCTCTGTGTGACGGTTTTTCTTCGCGTGTTTGCGCGCGTGCGAGGGTTTCTTCATCTGCGTTTGTTTTGCTTGCCCACGCTGTGCTTTTTATTTTTGTTTTGAACTCTGTGACCCCCCCCCCCCAACGGACGCCGCTTTGGCAGGTGTAATGCGTCATGAGCAGGCGACCCGTAGAGAAACTAAGTCGTGCGCTCCGCCGCCAGGCGCAGCTGTCCTCACGGCGCCGCCCCCCAATGGGCGGGGAGACGTCGGTGCCCGCGGCAACGGGGAAAGCGGCCGCGGCAGGCGACGGGGTCGTGGCGCCTGCCCGTGACGCCTCACCGGACGCTGCCGTGGGCGGCGACGCCTTTCATCCCGCCAGCGCCGCGATGGCACCCCCCTCCGCGGGCCTGAAGGGCGCCGAGGATGGGGTCATTCACGCCAACTACTCGCTGCGCCACGCACTGGCCCGCGGCGCCCCTGAGACTCGCCTCACGCGACAAGTAAAACGCGCCATTCAACAGTCCACTGGAAAGGCGGAGGCGCTAAAAGCCTTGCAGGTGCTTCTGCAGGCGGATGGGGAAACACCCACGGCGGCGACGTTCAAAACGCTATCTGCCGCGCTGTTACAGCACCATGTGGAGCAGCGAGTGGGCCACGCCGCGTTTGCAAAGGCCCTGACAGACGCGGTAGGGTATGAAGGCGATCGATGGCGGCGTCTCTCGGAGGAGGAACGCTCTGCCTTTGTGAACTACACATGTCGAACTACGGAACGGTGGGCAGAGCGCGGCTCCTCGTACAACAAACTCTTAGGATTCTCACAGGAAGGCGCAGAGAATGAGGTTGTGGCAAAGGTGGAATATCAAATGCGGAAGTCTGGTGTGACGGTGTCGGCCTCCTCACTGGCGGACCTGATGCACCTTGACGTCACCTGGTCGACGGCTCTGCATCTCTACAACTTTGCCGGGGAGCTACAAAAGCACGTTCCACCACCCATGGAAATGACGGATCGCCTCATGGGGCTTATGACAGGCTACAAGAGTGGACTTGGCGGCTCTCGTCCCTGGACGCGGGCACTGGCGTTGTATCAAGAGGCTCTCGTGTCTGGCTACGACACCACGCTGACTACGCACGCGCATGCGCTTGACGCGCTGTGGCGAAGCGCGGACACCTTCCATCGCGTGCACAGTCCCCTGAGCGCCTCCCATCAGCGGTGGGTGTGGAAAAAGGCACTTGAGATCACCCAACGTGTACAGGACACGCCACGACTGCTTCTTACCGGCGACGAGGGTTGTGCATATGCGGAGAGCGTCGTCAAGGCCGTTGCTGCCTCGGGCCGCTGGTCTGTGGCGGTGGCGCTTCTCAGCAACCTGGATACCTCCAATATGGATCTTTCGTTTCGCTTTCTGGTGCCCACCGCGGAGACGTACGCCTTTGCCATGGCGGGGTGCCACACAGCCGGTCACGCGGCCCACGGTGAGGCTCTGTGGACTATTTTCAGGGAGACCTACACCCTGCGCTCGCTCCACTCTGAGGCGCTTGCAATTCTTCTTCAGTCGCTTCGTCAAGTCGTTCGCAGCTTACCCATCGTAGGCCCTCTTCTTGAGGAGTTGGTGAACGACGGAAAAGGGCTGGAGCGTCAAGCGGCTGTGGCTGCTTTGCAGCTGCTCTCAAGCAGGTACGTGAAGACAAGTGAGCGGCGGTGGGTGTTGGCCGCCAAGTTACTCGACATGTACGACGCAAACCCGTGGCCTCAGCAACCGCTGGCACGGAAAGCGGAGCTGCAAACGGTATTTCGATGTTGCCACCTGATAGCTGCGATGGAGGAGCCGCAAGGCGGCAGGACTTTGCTTCTGCAACTTCGAAAACGTCTGGTGGATGTGTTTGGCGGCTCCTCGGCGGAGGTGGAATGGCTCGACGACACCGCCATCTACGCGCTGCAGGTGACCTCCAACTGGAGCGAGGCCCTTGCCACCTACGACGCAGCCGTCGCTCGGCGAAAACCCGAGCATGTGCCGTATCTGCCGATTCCCCTGCGCCAGGCGAAGATGATGCTGGTGGAGGCGCTTGTCCGGTCTTGCCGGGCGATGGAGGAAGACGGTGAGTCCTTTCTAGTGGACGAGGACACGCAAGAGGCGGACCGCGATGCTGCTGCGGCGCTGACGCAACGGGCCCTCGCCGTAACGAAGGCCGTGTTTGGACCAGATGATACTTTTCCCCATCACCTGTACGCCGAGTTGCTCCTGATGCAGGCGTTGAGTGCCACAACGAGTGGTCAACGGAAGTTGCACGCGCTTGAGGCAATGCGCCATTTTTCGCAGGCCTCGGCGGAGTTGATTGAACACCGCCTTGTTGTTCGCACAGCCACAGCCTTGTCGCTTACGGAGATGCACGTGGAGAACGCACTTCTGGTAGGGCATGCGGCCCTGCTACAAGCGACGCTTTCGCAGCGCAACTGCCGCCGCAGGCCGGAAAGCGCCCACGGCGGCTTTGATGTTGTGGCGTGGTAGCGCAGCATGGAGGGATTGGCGTTCTTCTTCCGCGCCTTCGGTAGGCTCCTTGACCGTTGTGGGCATGCTGCTTCTTTTTTTTGTTTTCAGTGCATGTGGCAAACTCCATTTCTTAAACGCTTAAACGCTCTTAAATTTGCCCCGCTTTTCCTTCACTTCCCCCTTTGCGGTTCGCCGTTGTCTGCCTGCGCTGCCGTCAGCCTTTCGCCGCGTGGCTGCGGTCATGCATGGTGGCGTGGGGCCCACTTCCGGCGCCTCTTCTGCCTTGTGTGTGCGTTAGTCCTCCCCCCTCCTTTTTTCCCCCCGTTCCTTCCATCATCCCTCTTCCCGCTTCTCTCTTGCTTCCCCGCAGCAATTCATCTGTGCTCAGTGAGCTTTGCCACGCATACATAAACCGTTCGGGGCCGTCGCAACTGCAAGCGAGAAGGGGAAGGAGCGAAGAGAAATAAGAAGCTGCAGAAGCAGAGAGAGAGAGAGACGAAGAAACAAAAAGACAAAAACAAAAAAAAAGAAACAACAACAACAGGGAACAGCAAAGTCCAGCGTGGAGTCACACCAGCGCGGCATTCAAAGCTAAGGGCAAGCAAGTATGCCATCGGTTGAGATTGAGGTCCACTTTCCGCTGTCGCGCATTACCGCCGAGGGGTACGCCGAGGATGAATTCCTCCTCAACCAACTGGAAAAAGTGAACGACACGCCAGAGGAGGACGGCATGCCGCTGCGGGCGTGGGTGGTCAAAAGCGCCCATGATGCGCTGGAGAAGAAACCCAAACTCCGTGAGGTGCATCTGAAACCAAAGGCGGTGAAGCCCTGCCACACCCACTTCCTCGTCATCATTGACGAGGAGTAAGGAAGTAGGGAAACGAAAAAAAAAAGAAAAGAGGGGTGGGAGTGGAAGTAAGGAACAGCACTGCACCTCACGGGCACACGCATACATGTCGCAGAGGCATTCACTGCCCTCCCTTGCGGGGGAAGTACGTAGCAAAAAGAAGCACTCGCCGGGAATTATTGAGATGCGGCATTTTTGTGAACAATGGGCTTGATTTTCCCTTTTCATTTTCGGCAAATTCATGAGTATGCAATTGCAAAAGCGCCCCTCTCTCTCCCCATGTGCGTGCGTGTGTGTGGGCTTGTGTGTCTGTGCCGTGGTGAGCCATAGTACGTGTGGGTATGAACATGAATTGTGAAGGGATTGTCTTTTTTGTTCCTGTTGCTATTGTTTTTTTTTTGCATGATAGAACAATATCTTTTGTTTTTGTTCTTATGAAAATGCAACTGTGTCTCCTTTTTCCCTTTGGGCTGCGGTTGTGTTTGCTTGGGCCTTCCCGTGTATACCCGAGGCCGCGTAACTCACTCTCCCCCCAATGTTTCGTTTTTTTTTCTTTGCACGTTTCTTCTTGCGGCTTCCTCTGAATGTGCGCAAGTGCGTGGGCCGCTGCGGCGTCGGTGGATTTGCCTGCATTCTCACCAACACACGTCTTGGACGGCCGACAAATACATGCGAAGGGGCCGTTTTGGGCGGCTGTGCGAAGTTTTTGGCGCGTGTGGGTTTTGGGGTGGCTGCCATGACCCCGGGGCGCGTACCAGGCGAGGCGACGGCGATTTTTCTGCTGCGCGAGTACGTCATTCCGATTGTTGTCTTCGCACTGATGGCAGCATGGCTGCTGCGCAATGTGGTGCTGCCGATGTGCGCGGGCGGCGTTGTGTTCACGCGTGAGGCCGCGCCTTCCGAAGACGAGGCCTCATCGCCCGAGGCCCGTCGGATGCGTCACGCGGACCCCACTGACGCTGGCGTTTCCGACTGCAGCGATAAAGTAAAGTGACTGTAAGAAGGAGCCGGGGAAAAAAAAAGTTGCGTACGATTCTCCCTGCACGTGCTGTGTGTGTGTGAGAGAGAGAGAGAGTTGTTTCTCTGTGCTGTGGCCTCTGCTGGGGGAGGGTGGTTCTTTTGTAATAACAAAAAAAACAAATAAACAAATGCCCTGCTTTTTTTTGTTTGTGTTGTTCTTCTTCCGGTTCTTGTCATTCCTCGAGTTTCTGCCACTAAGGGACCGCGTGCGCGCGTCACTCCTTGCGAGCACGCAGCCACACACCTGCATAATTCCATACATAGAGACATCCATACATTCATTATAGACATATAATAAATTATATATATATATATAACAATTGCGGCGCTTACCGCTTGAGCGTCCCGGGGAGGCGTGCGTGCGGGCATGGGAGAAGGAGAGAAGCGGGGAGGAGTAATGCCCTCGCCGCCCATTCGTGTCTGTGTCCTCGTGTGCTCCTACGAGGGTTCGGATAGTGAACTGAAGGAGTACGAGGGGGAACTCGTGCAGACGCCGCAGCACTACTTTACGCAGGCGGACGCGAAGGAATTTGTCTTTACCCTCGAGTTTGTTAAGAAGTCGACGGCCTACCGCCAAATACGTCAGTTAGTGAAGTCTGGGGCCTTCGATGTCTTCTACAACCAGTGCGATGGAGCCATTGACGAGGACAAAGCCGGCGTGGATGTGGTGCAGGCGCTTGAGAGCTTCAACGTTCCATTCACTGGCGCCATCTCCAAGTACTATGAGTTGTCTAAGCCAGAGATGAAGCGCATGGCACACTACTGCGCCGTCAAAACAGCACCGTACGCCGTGCTGGAGTCCAGTGACGACGTGCGGAGGCTGTGCGCCGCACTGCATTTTCCGTTGATTGTGAAGCACATCTCTGGCTACAGCAGCGTGGGCATGGACAAGTCTTGCAAGGTGCACAATATGGATGCGCTGGAGGAAAGGGTGGCGCGCTTCATTGACCAGTACCAGATCGCCCTCGTGGAGGAGTTTATTCCCGGCGACGAGGCGACTGTATTGGTGTGCGCCGATGCCACACAACCTGGTGGAATACGTGTGTTTCCGCCAGTCATGGTGCAGTTTCCGGCGGGGGAGGACTTTAAGCACTTCCACCTCAAGTGGGAAACTTATGAAGGGATGAACTGGCGTTTTGTCTCAGAGGATGACCCCGCGTTGCCGGATATGATTCGCATAGCGAAAACGTCATTTCTTCATATGATGGGGGGAGTGGGGTACGGCCGCGTCGACATTCGCATTAATCGTGCCACAAATACCGTTGTGTTTCTTGAAATCAACCCCAATTGCGGCATTATGTATCCCTACGGACAGGAAGGCTCTGCGGATTGGATCCTGCGGCTTATGCCAGATTTTAAGCAAAAGGAGTTCGCCAAGCTGCAGATACGTGAGGCCATTCAGCTGCATGCACGCAAGCAGCTACCCTTTCGCTGTGCCTATGATCCGGTGCGGGAATATTACCTCTGTGCCACACGGGATATACCCGTGGGCAGTGTTGTGTTTGAGGGGGAGGGACGCCTAGTGCGGCTGTGCACCAAGCCGTACGTGAAGGCCCATTGGGGCGAGGTGGAGTACAATGAGTTTCTGCATGACGCCTGGCCTGTTGGGGCCGAGGGCCACTACTATGCACTCTGGGACCTGGGGTCCTCAGACTGGCGTGCAGTTAACCACTCCTGTGACCCAAATGTGGGGTTTTGTCAGAATCGTTCCCTTAACGCTCACGCTCTTCGCGACATCGCAAAGGGGGAGGAGCTCACGATGGACTGTCGCCTTTTCATGGACGACACGATGCCGCCATTCCAGTGCCGCTGCAAGGCAGCTACTTGCGCAGGCTGGATCCGCGGAAGCGCCAAGCGTGGCAGCACTCACCGTGAGTCCTGCAGTGGGACTTTGACTCGCCGGGACGACAGCCTAATTGCACCGGTGGCAGAGGATTGAGTCAAGTGGCACTCCCCTTCCCTAACCCGTCCAGCAGGGCGGGACGCCACTGAATGCCTTTCCTCCCCTCTCCTTCCCAGTGGGAACAAAGGTATTCAGAGAAAACAATACTCATAGAAATTCAACAAAATGAGAGCCAAAAAAAAAACAAGCACAACAACAACAAAAAAAAACTAAAGACATCGACAACAACGGCAGGAGCTCAAAAGAGAGTGATGCGGTCTTGCTACGAGATTGACAGTGGCGCTTTGTACTATGAAGGCGTCATTCTGCAATAGCTGTGTGGGTCTTTCGTGTGTTCATGGGGATGTGATGAACAGTGGCAAGGCATGGGCTTCTCCGCAACAAGCCTTTTTCCCCTTTTGTGCCTCTGCGATTGGTACAAGACGCCCCTCTTCCTTCATTTTTTCTTTTCCCAGTCTTTCCATCACTCTTCCAAACTCTGTTTTGCTCCAGCTTTGCGGCAGTGGCGTCGGGGCGTATGCGGCCCCGGTAGTTCTGTGCCTCTCTCTCTCTCTTTTCCCGCCCCATCTGGCTTGCGTCTGCGTCGCCGCACGAATACTTGAGCGCCAACGTCGGATTGTAGGTGTTGTGTCCGGGGACACGCTCGCCTCACCGACGAGTTTGCTGCAACACCTGCGTGCACAATGGCGTACTGCAGGTGTACTGCAGGCCGGCGGAGAAGAGCGGTGTCTGGTACTGGAGCCTCGCCGCAAGGATGTGCGAGAGGCGGGATCGGCGGAGCCAGCGACGGATTTTCTGCACATTACTTTTCAGCTTCTCACCTCGCCACCGCAGACGCTCGTTACTGACGTGGATGCCATCCTGCTGGGTTTCTCCCCATCGCACCCCTTGTCGTTTCAGCACCTCGGGGAGGTTTGGTGGCCGATTTTTGTCCACTTGCGGCGACTGCCACTTTTACTTGTGGTCGCGGAAATGAAGCTGCTTGTTATGCCAGAGGCTCAGCGAAGCATGCGCGAGCGTTGCATCCAGCAAATAAGCGTGCATGATGTAGCGTCTGCGGCGCAGCCTACTGCTGTGCCGCCGGAGCATATTCTCCCCGTGCCACTGGGCCGTCCTGGGCCCCTGTACGCGAACACACGCACACCTCCTGGCACGTTGCTTGCGCATCTCTGCAACACGCTCCTATGCACCTGTGGTTCCGTCCCGGGAGGGGAGACTCAATTCTTGCCTCTTCAACTGCGCTGGGAGGCGACACCTAGCGAGGCAGCTGCGTTTCAGCTCGAGGCTTAACTCCGCGAGAAGTGGGTGGCAATTGCGTCCGCCTCGCCAGCTCGCACGTTTTACTCGAACCGAGTGACGGGTTAAGTGACGACCGTACGACCTGTGATGGTGGCGGATGATTCCAAGAAAAACTGCGAGCAGTTCCGTGTGGTTGCGTTGGCTGCACAGGTGAAGAGACACGCAAAAGGCTCTGGCTTGGCATTGCCGTCCAACGCCGGGACTCACTCGGTGAACGGACCGGTTCTCCAGGACGGTGTGCGGCTGCTGCGCGAGAGACGAGCACGCCTGCGGGAGATGGAGGCAAAGGTTCACTGCGTGCGGCGTGTCGCGCGTGAGCTAAGGGAGGAGGCCGGGGGTCTCGTCTCCACGCTGCAGACACTGAAGGGCGGAGCGACGCCGTTGGCAATGCAGCTCAGCATTACCCTGCAGAAGTTCCAGTCCCTAGAGGAAGTGTTTCAACGCATTGGCTCCCTCACCAGGGCGGACCTCGCGTCGCTCTCCGAGAACACACCAAAGACTAGGCGGAGTTGCCTTCAAAAGTGGAATCGCAATAAATTGGGGCGGCCCAACGTACACGAAGTGCAACTCAAAGTCACAGAGGTGAGAAACAGGGTCGAAACAGTCCGGCAACAAATTCGAGACGGCCCAAAAAAGACACTAAAGACGCTAAACAAACAGTATCATACGCAATACGGCGCAATTAACAAGCTATAAGAAAAAAAAACCTATTGGTCCGGCGTTGGCAGGCCTTACAGGGTTCTGTGCGGTGGGAGTCCCGGGCCAGTGCCGGGAATCTCTCTTGTTGTGCGAAGAGCGCCTCGACGGAGTGTGTGTCGCTGCTCCGTGGCCTTCCGCAGGGCTTGTTGGAGGCGGCGGAGCCACTTCTCTGCGCGACTGTTCAGCTGCAGCGGATGAATGGAGGACTCTCAGCCCTGTGCAGCGCGACTGTGAGGGCGCCGCCGGGTTTGCGGCGTTTGCTGTTGGAAGAGCGAGTTTGGCGGCGACGGGTGGTGGTGGAGCGGACGCGGGACTACGCGGTTTGCATTGTTGGTGGCTTCCTGCCACCTGTGCAGCGCCGCGGCCGCCTGCTGGGCGAGCGTGCGTTTGCCGCGCTGGGTCCATTGTCGTGACGTGCGTTTTGCG